TCATCACATGATCAGATGTTTCCAGCCTCCAGCGATGCCGATAACAGCCACCAGGGGGATCATGTACAGTACCATGTATCAGGTCAGCAGGACTTCTGTGAATGAGGAATCACCTTCAAAAGTGGGGCTCCCAAACAAAAACGAGCCCCAGAAAAGGCCTCCAATAGTGCAGTATTGTTTATTGCAGGAAATTCAGGCATACAAAAAGAATGACACTTACATTAAAAAATCAAAGATGGCCACCGGCTGTCCATATATGGCTATGTGGAGTGTACACAATAGTCGGGGGGCACCTCCCTAACGCGTTTCGTGTTCAAACACTTTTTCAAAGCAAGAAATATACAGATACATTTAAAACAGGCCCGGGTCTAGGGGGGTACTGGGGTGGGCTATGCCCCACCCAGATTTTACTTGTGCACCCCCAGACCTCTGAGAGTGAATTCGCAAATCCACGAGACTTGATGGGGACAGGTGACATAAGGAGGGACTGTTATAGGAATTCTGAGAAGGACTCCTGATATAAGGGGGCTCAGGTTCTGTTTAATCTCCCTAAACTAATAACATTCCCAGTTCACTCTGCACCATCCTCTGCATCAACTCTGTACCTCCTCTGCACTACCCTCTGCACCACCCTCTGCACCACCCTCTGCACTACCCTCTGCACCACCCTCTGGACTACCCTCTGCACCACCCTCTGCACTACCTGTAAGATGTTACTTCTGGGTTATGACTCCGTGGTACAGAAGTGTGCCGAGTGAACAGGGAATACTGCTCCATGCATCCCTGTGACACTGCATCCCTGTCACACTGCTGACATTACGCCCCCTGACTTTTTTTTTTACTGCACCCCCATATCAGACAGGCTAGATCCGGCCCTGATTTAAAATAATGTTTTTGTGTGAGTTTTCCTTTGAAAATAAAAAAAAATCAGGAGATATTCATTATTGTTTACCACCAAAAGAAAGCCCAATTTGTCCTGAACAAAACCCAAGGTATAATTCACCTGCATACACTGAGTAGGTGTACTAACACATGTCAAAGTTGCAAAATTGTGTTCAGGCATTACATTTGTTTTGCCCACAGTCACGAAGGGGTTAACCATCTTCCAATATGATTTTTAGGTTTGGGTAATGTTAGAAGCGCACTGTTTTAGACTAGACAAATGTTTGACTTAACTAGCTAGGTTAGGGTGCATTAATGACTATAAATCAGTCTATAGTATTTTGTGGCTTTTACCAGCAGTCAGAGATTAGATTCTCTCACATACCAGGAGTCACTGATTTATAAAGAGAACAAAGTCCTTCCTTAAAGAAGGAAATAAAGTTAAAGATTAACCTCTTGGAGCCGGCACCTCCCGGCCCTTTAAGAATTTAGGAATTTAAGTGAAAAGCACAGGGTGCCAGTGTTGGACCTGCCAATTCTTGTGTTCAATGGCAAATGCCAATCTAGTTCTATGGTGCTGTGCAGTGAGCACAGGGCCCACTAGAGGATGTCGGGCCCTCAGGCCACCCTCATGAAGTCTGTTACTGATTGTTTGGTCAGAGACATTCACACCAGTGGCCTGCTGGAGGACATTTTGTAGGGCTCTGGCAGTTCTCATCCTGTTCCTCCTTGCACAAAGGAGCAGATACTGTCCTGCTGATGGGTTAAGGACCTTCTATGGTCCTGTCCAGCTCTCTTAGAGTAGCTGCCTGCCTCCTGGAGTCTCCCCCATGCTGTTGAGACCTTCTGGTAATGGCACGTATTGATGTGCCATCCTGTAGGAGTTGGACAGCCTGTGCAACCTCTGTAGGGTCCAGGTATCATCTCATGCCACCAGTAGTGATACTGACCCTAGCCAAATGTAAAACTAGTAAAAAAACAGTCAGAAAACATGAGTAGGTAAAAAAATGTCAGTGGCCTCCACCTGTAAAACCATTTCTGTTTTTGTGGTCGTCTCATTGTTGCCCATCTAGTGCACTTGTTAATTTCATTAACACCAAAGCAGGAGTTTAATTGACTTGATGCTATACTTTGATTAAAAAGTGTTCCTTTAACTTTTTTGAGCAAAGTATATATATATATATATCTTAGTATGTACACAAAGGTTACTAAAATGTACAGCGGTTCTATATGTAAGAAGGTTCGGTACTGCTTAATGAGTTAGGTACAGGCCTAGGCTGGGTTGGGAAAGTTCACTGTTCCCGGTGTACGGGTTTTTGGTTTTTAGGTGCTTCAGCCAGCTCACCTGTGATATAAATTGGGGGAAGACTGAGGTCCAAGAGTTCCTAGACCCTAGGGCTCCAGGGTGCTGCTCTGCTGCTGCTGTTACATTCAAGGACTAGGAGAAGCTGTTTCTTTCATCTTCCATTCTGAAGACCCCTGGTGTGCCACCAACTATGGACTAACGCCTGGAAAGGTACGTCTGAGTCAATGAACAATTAGGGTTAGGAAGAATGAACCATTTGTACTTTTATCATGGTTGCACTACAGTTGTCCGTAAAGACCGTCAAACATTCCCTTAAACCTGGAATAAAATACCTGTGTGTGCTCTGACCTGGTGACCCCCCTGTGCTCCAACCTAGTGACCCCCCCCCCGTGCTGTAACATGGTTAGCCCCCTGTGCTCCAACCTGGTGACCTTCCTGAGCTCTGAGCTGGTGACCCCCTTGTGCTCTAACCTGGTGACCCCCCCCTCTGTGCTCAAACCTGGTGAGCCCCCTGTGCTCTAACCTGATGAGCCCCATGTGCACTGACCTGGTGACCTTCCTGTGCTCTGATCTAGTGACCCCCCCCCGTGCTCTGACCTGGTGACCCTCCTGTACTCCAACTGGGTGACCTTCCCGTGCTGTGACCTAGTGAACCCCTCTGCTCTAACCTGGTGACCTTCCTGTGCTCTGACCTGCTTACCCCCCTGTGCTCCTACCTGGTGACCTCCCTGTGCTCTGACCTGTTGACCCCCCTGTGCTCCTACCTGTTGACCCCCCCTGTGCTCTAACCTGGCGAGCCCCCTGTGCTCCAACCTGGCGACCTTCCTGTGCTCCAACCTAGTGACCCCCCCCCCCCCGTGCTGTAAACTGGTGAGCCCCCTGTGCTCCAACCTGGTGACCTTCCTGAGCTCTGACCAGGTGACCCCCCTCTGCTCTAACCTGGTGACCTTCCTGTGCTCTGACCTGCTTACCCCCCTGTGCTCCTACCTGTTGACCCCCCTGTGCTCTAACCTGGTGAGTCCCCCGTGCTCTAACCTGGTGACCTTCCTGTGCTCTGACCTGCTTACCCCCCTGTGCTCCTACCTGTTGACCCCCCTGTGCTCTAACCTGGTGAGTCCCCCGTGCTCTAACCTGGTGACCTTCCTGTGCTCTGACCTGGTGACCTCCCTGTGCTCTAACCTGGTGAGCCCCCTGTGCTCTGACCTGGTGACCTTCCTGTACTCTGACCTGGTGACCCCCCTGTGCTCTAACCTGGTGAGCCCCCTGTGTTCTGACCTGGTGACCTTCCTGTGCTCTGACCTGATGACCCGGCGGTGCTCCAGCCTGGTGAGCCCCCTGTGCTCCAACCTGGTGACCTTCCTGTGCTCCAACTTTGTGACCCCCTGTGCTCTGACCTGGTGACCCCTCTGTGCCCTAACCTGGTGAGCCCCCTGTGTTCTGACCTGGTGACCCCTCTGTGCTCTAACCTGGTGAGCTCCCTGATTCTGACCTGGTGATTTTCCTGTGCTCTGACCTGGTGAACCTGCTATGCTCTAACCTGGTGAGCCCCCTGTGCTCCAACTTGGTGACCTTCCTGTGCTCTGACCTGGTGACCCCCCTGTACTCTGAGGTCGGTACAGGCAGCATTCAAGCAGGGTCAATAACAGATCAGATCAGTAACTGAATGACAGGTAACAGGATGCATAGGTGCTCAAAAGTATTAGACCAAATGGCACTAATGCAAGGCACTAACCCAGCTTAAATAGCCCGCCTGGCGCCAATGTGCTGTCGCGCATGCACACTTGCACACACCTGTGTGCACGTTCACACACGCGCATTCTCTAACTGGCAGGGCTAACAGGGGTTCTGCGTCTGCGCATAGATATGTGCATTCCCTGACAACTGGACTCTATTTACTAATTAGGGGACTGCTGCAGGCAATTGGTTCCACTAGATTTTACTTAGGGGTATCAAAGTAAAGAGGGCTGAATACAAATGCACGCCACACTTTTCATATATTTATTTGTAAAAAATGTTGAAAACCATTTATCATTTTCCTTCCACTTCACAATTATGTGCCACTTTGTGTTGCTCTATCACATCAAATCCCAATAAAATACATTTACGTTTTTGGTTGTAACGTGGCAAAATGTGGAAAATTTCAAGGAGTATGAATACTTTTTCCAAGGCACTGTACTTGCTAAAATAATAGAATTTCCATGTCGTGTGTACTGTGGGAGACCACATATAGAGAATGCAGGGTCCTGGGTTTAGTAACACTTTAATGTTTTGTCTGAAAATCTGGAAACAAAAGGTCTGTTTTGGAAGGATTGTGTTTGGCATCTGTATTGATGGTGACCAATCAATGGTTGGCTCCATGAGAGGCTTTTCATCTAAAAAACAGAAAAGGAAAACCCTGATGATGACTTCACATCAGAAGCCCCCCTTCACAACCGAGGTTCCCCATCACATCAGAGCTACTCCATCCAAGAGTTCTTGATACATTGGAGGCCCCTCTTTACATGAGAGCCCCCCATCACATCTGAGTCCCTCTCATTACATCAGAGCCACGGAATCACATTAGAGATCCACTTATCACACCTGTTTCCCCCCTTCACATCAAGGGCAACAGCCCCCCCCCCCCATCACATCAAATCTTCCCCATCACATCAGAGTCATCCCATTACCAGAGATCTCCCATCACAGAGCCCCCTAATCACACAGTCCATCCATCACAGAGTCCTGCAGTCACACACTCTCCATCACAGAGCCCCGCAGTCTCACCCCCATCACAGAGCCCCCTAATCACATAGTCCCCTCTTCACATCAGAACCAGGGGCGGTCTGACCGTTTGGAAACTCTGGCACTGCCCGAGGGCCCGGGTCAGTAGGGGGCCCCATGAGATGCCCCTGGTACCTTTTTCATAGTTTTTTTTGAGTTTGGGCAAGGACACAGGGGCCCCATGATCCCCTATTGCCTGGGGCCCCATGAGTTGTCAGTCCGCCCCTCTCAGAGCCCTACCGTTTGGCTCCAACAGCGTGGCAGAGGGTGGGAGGTAGAGGTGGTCTGGTGGAGGCAGGCTTACAGTATGTCTTCTTCTTCTGAATGTTGGGGTAAGCCCTGCATGCTGCCTGCCCTGGATCAGTTATGCATTGCCTTGGTCCAGGTGTGCTGGTCCACCCCGTACCATGAAAACTTACGATGCTGTTCCCATGCATATGGTACAACCAGGGGAGCCTAGAAGGCACACTGGTTGAGATCACTGTGCTAGCCCACCGAGCTACCTGGGTGTCTTCACCCACCTCCCAGCGGTAAGAAGGTGCTACATCTATTTTGCATTTTTTTCTTCATATGCTGAAGCTTGCAACAGATTACACTAACACATTTTCTCATGTCTTCTTCCACATATTGCAACAGACAAATATTTTGTTCACACACCATACTGTAAGTCCTCATGTACACGGAATGTTTTTACAGCGGCTGTTTTTGGCTTTTGATGTTTTTTCTACAGCTAGTAAACCCCCCAGCATGTTATCCTATGAGTCCATGCACACATAGACTGTAAATCAATGTTTTTTGGCAGGGGCATTTTTTGGATGGAAAAAAAAAACCCAGGACTAGTGGGTTTCTGAAGGAGTTTTTTTAGCTGTAAAAACGTTCTAACGCTGCAAAATGCGGTAAACAGCCGCAAACTGGCGTTTTTGGACTTTTTTTACCAAAAAAAAAAAAATTTTTTGTGAAAAAAATGCTAAAACCGAAAATGTGGAAAAACGCAGCTAAACGCTAATCCAAAAATGCTAAAAAAAAGCTGAAAAAAACTCATGTTTTTAACGTGACTTTACACAGCTAACGTTACCAGCGTTATCAAAACATCCAGTGTGCATGGAGCCTAATGCAGGCCACACATGGGTCAAATTCCGAACAATTTTTCGTCCGAAAATTTAAAACGTTGTTCACTCAGTGAACTGATGGTGCTATCAATGATTTCGAAAATCGGCCGACCAAGTCATAAAGTTCACCCCATATAACATGCAAAACTGCTGTTCCTTCCAGGTCACGGTTCATGCGCGTATTCTTTTCGTAAAAACTATTGTACAATTTGACCATCATTGAGTCGAAAATCGATCGATTTTCAAATTTTCCAACATGCCCAATCACCGAAAAGGGGAGGAACCACAAAAATCGGCCAGTGCTATTGACCCACTCACAGAGAGAAAATCGTCCAATTATTCTTAGGTCTGATTTTCGGACAAAAAATCAGTCGAATTCCAATGCATGTACAGCCGGCATTAGTGTATTTGTTTTCTGTGAATATATTTATCTTATGCCAAGTGTCTAACATCTACATTGCAGCGTTCAAGTATTTATCCTTTGCAATATCTAACAAAATCCGTCACCCTGGCATCTGTGTAGTGTAAAATCTTTTTTTTTTTCATTGTCCTATCATCAAAATGGAACATCGGCAGTTTCTTTCTTTTTTTTTCTTTTTTTTTATGATCACTCAATCAATAAAATTACACATTTGTTTTGTATGTCTAGGGCGGCTGTCACTGTACACATCCAAAGATAAAATCAGGATACCGTCCAAGAGAATGACCTCACGTTCTTTGCAGCCTGCCAGAATAAATTCAACTTAAAATGAGACGCTTCTGTAAAGTGGACAAAAAAATAAAAAAAGCGAATTTCTATTTTTATTTCCGACTCCTGCACAGTAGGATATCTGAATAACACTTTCCATAAGGAAAATACAGCTTCGCTAATTTCAATTCATGCATGGATTGAAAGTGAATAAAAAATATAGTTTCCACTTGTGGTAATGAATCTTTCCAAATGCTACAACTACTGGAATACCTGATCAGAGCGCCAAGTGCCAAGAGAAATCTTACTTGGCTATGATATATAATAGAACAACACTTTTTAAATGATGTGTTTACAGCATATACAGGGGTCCCCATACTGTCATTATGCTGCTGGCTGTAGAAGTCTGGTGAAGAAGGAATAGGGAAGAAGTACAACTGGACCTGCAGAAAAGAAGAGCTGGCTTCTCAGACAAAACTTTCTAAGACGGGATTAAACTCTTCTATGCTGCATGTCCAGCTGTACTTCTATCGTATTCCTACAGCATGCAGGATCCTTTATGCGTCTGGAGCAGATGAGTGCTGCATGTAGGCAGCCTATGTCAGTTGCACATCCAAGTTTCTCAGCCCTGCAGGGACAGGTTTGTGGTCTAGACCAGGGCTTGAAATTTCCACTCACCTGCTCGCCAATGGCGAGTAGAAATTATGGTGGGGGCAAGTGTGTCCCCCAGGGCCGTTTTGCTGAGCAGGCTCTGAGCTCAGGCCGGATCTGTCATTGGCATTGGGAGCCGTCAGACTGCTCAATAGCTGAGCACAGTGAAAGCAAGGAGTGTGTGCTGTGCTCTCTGCCTCCCCCTAGAGTGCAGTACCCAGATCTGTGAGTGAACAACGAAGTACTGCAACTTTTTATGGGTGTGTGTGTACGTGTACATGTGTGTATCTGTGTATGCATGTACAATTGTACATGTGTCTGTGTGTATGTACATGTGTGTATCTGTACATGTGTCTGCGTGTATGTACGTGTGTGTGTACATGTGTCTGTGTGTGTGTACATGTGTCTGTGTGCATGTACATGTGTGTGTTTGTGTGTATGTACATACATGTGTCTGTGTGTACGTGTCTGTGTATGTATGTATGTACATGTGTCTGTGTGTATGTACATGTGTCTGTGCGTCTGTAATTCTGTGTATGTACATGTATCTGTGTGTATGCCTGTCTGTACGTGCTTGTGTGTGTATGCATGTGTCTGTATGTGTGTGTGTGCACGTGTCTCTGTGCATGTGTGTATATGTTTTTTTGTGTGTGTATGTGTGTGTATGTACATGTCTGTGTGTGTGTACAGGTGTCTCTGTTTGTGTGTGTTTGTTGGTGGCGAGTAACTCTAAGGCCTGGCTGGTAGCTCAGGACTTTAAAATTTTAAGCCCTGGTGTAGACCATGTGTGTTTTGGGATGGTGCGCCCATCTCTACATGCCTTTAAACCTAGATAGGTGGGTGAGTACCCCCTTGCCCTCCAGAGGATTTACCCCCCTTCCTGACCAGGCCATTTTTTTGCGATACAGCGCTGTGTAACTTTAACTGACAATTGCGCGGTCATGCAACACTGCACCCATATTAAATTTATATCCTTTTTTTTTTTTTTCCCCACAAATGGAGCTTTCTTTTGGTGGTATTTGATCGCCTGTGTGTTTTTTTTTTATCTTTTGAGCTATAGGCAAAAATAGACCTACAATTTTGACCAAAACCCCAGTATTTTTGACTTTTTGCTATAAAACATATCCAATAAAAAATTTACATAATCTAATGTCGTCATAAATTTAGACCAAAATGTATTCTGCTCCATGTCTTTGCTAAAAGAAAATCCCAATATGTGTAAATTAATTGGTTTACTTGAAAGTTATAGCGTCTACAAATGGCAGTATAGATACTGGAATTTTTTTTGCTTAATACTAGTAATGGTGGCAATCAGCGACTTATAGCGGGACTGCGGCGGGCATTCTGACAATGGGTGGGAACTGAATAACTGCCACTGCCACTAATACAGTGATCAGTGCTAATAAAAAGCACTAACACTGTACTAATGACACTGGGCAGGAATGGGGTTAACATCTGGGGCGATCAAAGGGTTAACTGTGTGCTGTTTTGCTACTGTGTGTGTGTTTTACTAGGGAAACATGCTGCTGTGTATTGCTCTGCTATGCAGAGCAATACACAGCAGCATGCTGGTGCTGACGGAGGAGAGATCTGTATTGTTTACATACAGACCTCTCCCTTGTCAGTGTTCCTTGGTGATCGCCGGGTGCCGGTGGGGAATCTATGGCCAGGACCCGGTGATCAACACATCTGTATCCCCTTACCTGGAAATGCAAAATCAGTAGTTCTGCTATAGGGGTTAAAGTGGTTGTGAAGGCTGAAGTTTTTTTACCTTCATGCATTCTTTGCATGATGGTAAAAAACTTTCTGTGTGCTTCTCCCCCCCGATACTTACCTGAGCCAACGATGTGCTTCGGCTCTCCCGTGTCTCTCTCTCTCTCCCCATTGCCTGAGACACAGCAGCCACTGTCAATTACAGCAAGTAAGGAGAAAGCGGAGGGGCGGGGCTGAGCCATGTTCTTTGTGTCTTATAGACACACAGAGTGGAGCTCAGGAGTGCCCCCAGAGTAAGTGGCTTGCTCTGGGGGCACTCAGTGGGAGGGAGCGTCTAGAAGCACCAGTGGGGGGACCTGATAAAAGAAGGATTGGGGCTGATCTGTATAAAACCATTGCACGAAGCAGTAAATATGACATGTTTATTATTTTAAAAAAACAAAACACAAGCCTTTATTATCACTTTAACCACTTCCCGACCGGCCGTTGTATATAAACGGCTGGACGGTGGCACTGCAGGGTCGGGTGGCCGTCTATAAACGACCTCCCCGCATCCTGCTTGTGCGCGCTCCCTGGGAGCGCGCAGCACCGCGATCCGGTGCCCGCTGTGTCCTCCGGACACAGTGAAACACCGATCGTCGGACGGGACCTCTGTACGAGGTCCCGATCATGTGATCACTGATTAGCCAATCAGTGATCACATGCAAAGTAGTAAGCAAGATGTCACTTCTGACATCATTGCTTACTATGTGTGAAATCTGTGAATGATCACAGAGGTCACATGGTACAAGGCTATTCACAACAGCCTTGTACCATGTGACAAGCTGTGACCAATCACAGCTCACTCAGTTCTTCTCAATGAGTGCAAGAATGCACACAGAGAGAAAGAGAAATGATTGCTTTTACATCCTATATGGGTGTAAAAGCAATCAGTGTAAAAAAAAAAAAAAAATCTTCATCACCCCTCACAAGTAGTACAGTGTCACCATGGTGACACTGTACTGCTAGGGTGACAGTATGTAAAAAAAATAAATAAAAAAAAAAAATAATAATATAAAAAATAAAATAAAAATGTAAAAAAAAAATGTTTAAAAATTATAATTTTTGCTTATAAACTAATTTGGATTTTTTTTTTTTTTTTACTAAAAAGGCTACTTTTTCTTTATATTGGATCTTTGAACTGGTGTTAAATTCAAAAACAAAAAATGTAATATACTACATCTTACCAGTTCTTAATGTGTTACTAAATCCACAACAGTAAAATCAATCTGTATGTGCAGTAAAGCATGCTTGTTATACTCACTGTGGAACCTAAGGGGTTAATCCTCTGCATTGTGTAAAAAGGCTGTTTGAATCCTGACCTCTCTGATTCTCCCCTTCTTCTACTGTCCCCAGTCCATCTGCTGATAGTACAAAGCCCTAGGAGACACTCTGAACATGCTCAGTTTGATAGACAAGCTAAACCAGCGCTCCAATCTTCATGCAAACCAAGGAATTGCCAAAATGCCAATTGAAGAGGTGCTGCCCTTCTGTGATCGGGAAATCTGACCACTGGTGAATGAAAACAAACAAGGGCGCACTCTCATCGTGCATTACCGTGGTATAGCACGTAATTTATTAAATAAAAAAGTACATGTTTCGGGGGCTGAACCCCCTTCCTCAGAGCTAGCTCCGCATCATTAGACACAGTTGTATTGTGACTGTCTTTGTGGAATCACCCATACTGCCTATAATCACGTTGGTTTGTGAGTATACATCCTTTTTTATTTATTAAATTACGTAGTATACCACGGTAATGCACGATGAGAGAGCGCCCTTGTTTGTTTTCATGCTCAGTTTGGTGTGTATTGCTAGAGAGTTTTTTTTTTTTTCTTTGGGAGGGTGCATGTGATCAGTGGTTCATATAGTGAACTTGTAGAACTATTCATCCTGAGGTCATCACAGAGGACAAGAGGGCACTCTTTACGTCTGGAGGAAAATAAATGTAATCTCCAAGCACGGAAAGGTTTCTTCACAGTAAGAGCTGTGAAAATGTGGAATATACTCCCTCAAGAGTTGGTTCTGGCCAGCTCAGTGGATTGCTTCAAAAAAGGCCTGGATTCTTTCTTAGATACACAGAATATAACTGGATACTAACATTTATAGGTAATGTTGATCCAGGGAATATCCGATTGCCTCTCGGGGGATCAGGAAGGATTTTTTTTCCTAGCAGGAGCAAATTCGATCGTTCTTTGCTGGGGTTTTTTTTGCCTTCCTCTGGATCAACTGTGGGTATAGGATTATAACTTTTTTTTTCTATGGTTGAACTGGATGCACTTTTGTCTTTTTGCAGCCAGACTAATGCAGGCCGATTTTTGCACCGTTAGTGGGTTAATTGGTCGGCCATTTTTGGGGATTTTGGCACATTTTTTTATCGGTAAAGTTGGAAAAAAATTGTCCGATTTTCGTGGCAATGATGGGCAAGTCGGCCGATTTTTTTACCGATAAAAAATTTGCACATGAGCCCTGACCTGCAAGAGGAAGAACAAAAGAAGAAAAAGAAAATGAAGAAAAAGAATAAGAATTCCAGTCCGCTATTATATTTGACATGAAAAAGTATTGCGGTTGCAACATTGTATCTATTTGTATCTGAATAAAAACATCTGTATCCAAAATGGATATAAATAGATACAATGTTGCAACCGCAATACTTTTTCATGTCAAATATATAAGTGGAGCTCTCTGCATGGACAGAAGTAAGGTCAGGCACTGGTGTCAGACAAGAAGGCCTGGCTAGCTGTCTCCACTCTAATTCATCCCAAAGGTGTTCTATGGGGTTGGGGTCAGGACTCTGTGCAGGTCAGTCAAGTCCTCCACCCCAAACTCGCTCATCCATGTCTTTATGGACCTTGCTTTGTGCACTGCTGTGCAGTCATGTTGGAACAGGAAGGGACCATCCCCAAACTGTTCCCACAAAGTTGGGAGCATGAAATTGTCCAAAATGTCTTGGTATGCTGATGCATTAGGAGTTCTCCTCACTGGAACTAAAGGGCCAAGCCCAACCCCTGAAAAACAAAAAACAACCTCACACAATAATCCCCCCTCCACCAAACTTTACACTTGGCACAATGCAGTCAGGCAAGTACCGTTCTCCTGGCAACCACCAAACCCAGACTTGTCCATCGGACTGCCAGAGAAGCGTGATTGGTCACTCCAGAGAACACGTCTCCACTGCGCTAGAGTCCAGTGGTGACGTGCTTTACACCACTGCATCCGATGCTTTGCATTGCACTTGGTGATGTAAGGCTTGGATACAGCTGATCAGCCATGGAAACCCATTCCATAAAGCTCTCTACACACTGTTGTTGTGCTAATCTGAAGGCCACATGGAGTTTGGAGGTCTTTAGCTATTGACTCTGCAGACAGTTGGCATCTTCTACACACTGTGCACTTTCAGCATGCGCTGACCCCGCTCTGTCATTTACGTGGCCTACCACTTCATGGCTGAGTTGCTGTTGTTCCCGGTTGCTTCCACTTTGTTATAATACCACTAACAGTTGACCGTGGAATATTTAGTAGTAAGGAAATTTCACAGATGGACTTATTGCACAGGTGACAACCTATCACAGTACCACGCCTGAAGTCACTGAGCTCCTGAGAGCGACCCATTCTTTCACAATGTTTGTAGAAGAAGTCTGCATGCCTAGGTGATGATTTTATACATCTGTGGCCATGGAGGTGATTGGAACACCTGAATCCAATGATTTGGAGGGCTGGCCAATACTTTTGGCAATATAGTGTAAGAAGGACTCTAATGGGGACACCTGATGTAAAAATGGACTCTACTGGGAACATCTGATATCAAGGGGGGGCTCTACTGGGGATGCCTGACGTAAAGAGTGACTTTATTGGGGACACGTGATGTAAAGGGGAACTCTACTGGGGACTCCACCTAGCCAGGGGGCACAATTCGATACCTTTGCCCTGGGCACTGGATGACCGTGTCCCAGCACTCTGGTTTATTCTCCCTGTATAATGTCTGCCAACATCCTATTCCTGGCCACTGACTGCTCATAAATCACGAAGTGTTGGCTTCTTCCAGTCCCATTGAATGTTGTGTGTAGTCCCCTCCCCTCCCCCATACAGGACGATGACTCCTCTCCCATCACACGAAGCCTTCCATTGCCTTTGGCTGGTCAGGATATGAGCGCAGTGTGAAAGTATGTCGGTGTGAGAGCCAGCCCCATCCTGGAGGAAGACTGAACACTTCCACAGTGCCCACAGGGCTCAGGACGGGGAGAGAGGAGAGGAGCTGGCACTGACAGCCCGGAGCCGGGTGTGCGATCACTGGGAGGATCCGACACTCACTGCAGCCTCGTCTTCCGCACTCTCCGCCATTCACTAACACTGTCTACGCAAACAGCGTGTGAGAGGAAGAGAGGGAGCGGAACTTTCTCTGCGTAGAAGGCGTATCTCCCCCGAAAAAAGAGAGACCCCCCCCCTCCTCTTGTCTCCAAGCCGGTCTCTAGGAACATCTTATAAACAACATGGCGGCCAGGAAGGCTGGAGGGGCAGAGTAGCCGGAGGGAGAGAAGGCGAGGAGTTCACAATGGGGGGGCTGTCCGTCACCTGCTAGTCCCGGGGACATGAGGAGCGGAGGACTGGCCGGGGGCTGCGCTGACATCCGGGCTCCTTCTCCGGGATCTCCTCACCATGTCTCTGCACGGATCCCCCACCGCCGGGGCTGAGCCCAGCTCTGCGGACATGGAGGACAGACTGCCGCCCATCCTCTGCGCTGCCAGCGCCTCCGCCGGGGTAATTAGCGCTCATAATCCTCCTCATCATCATCCCTATCCTCCTCATCATCCTCATCCTCATCATTACCACCCTCATCATCATTCCCATCCTCATCATCCTCCTCATCATCCCCATCCTCATCATTACCACCCTCATCATCATCATCCCCATCCTCATCATCCCCAACCTCATCATTCCCATCCTCACCACCCTCATCATCATCCCCATCCT